GACTGTGCTTTGCAGCCAGCATCCGGGCTCTGACTGCATTTCTGAGACTTTGCTGCAGGCCTTTCAGGTAGGGATTGAGCCCAGGCTTGCAATAGATGACCGGGGTCAGCCAAGCCACCATCCCCTTCCCACCCACACCTTAAAATCCACGTGAAATGTTTAATTCAGCTTTAATAAATCTCGAATGCCAAACTCTGTCTCTGATGCAGTTTGTGGTCACAGAATATTCTTCTACAGCTTATGTTTTCCCCTTTTATTAAGCAGAAAAAAATCAGAGACTGAGGATGTTCCTGTTTGTAAGTTTGTTCACTGATGTATGTGCTCTGCCCTGTCCCTCAGGGTACGTGTCGATACTGACTCTCACTCTGTCCCTAGGAGGGGATCGCGCGCGTTGACGGTCCCTCTCCCAGGCTTTCCCTTCCCGTGGCCCTGTTCACCCTCCCTGTCTTCTTTACTGTGGCAAACCCTCTTTATGGATGTAGTCCCTCCGTCCACTCTTCTTTCTTCCCTTCTTCCCTCCCGTGCACAAGTCTGGGATCACGCTGCAGTCCGGCTTGCAATCCCAGCTTCCATACAGCACCTTGAGCAAGTGGCTGGGTCTGCAGTGAAGCCTTAGTTTCTTTCCTCCTGTGTAAATGGGCCCACCCTGGTCTGCCTTTCGTGCTGATGTTTGAACTGGTCAGGGCAGGTTTGTGTCTGACCTGCTGAGAGCCATTGCCAAGTAGGAATGACGCATCGAAATTTCCTTGCCAGCGTACCCCATGTTGCTTAGAGGAAGGACTCGTGGAAATGGACTTTCCTTGGACATTCACTGTGACATTGCATGTATGCTTGAAAAAGGTGACCCTGCTCAAGGACCAGGGTGGATCCGGGTTTAAGGAGGATCCTACTGGATTAGCATGGATCAGGTTTTAGGGAGTATCCCGCTCCTTGGGTTTAGGGCGTTCTGGTTTAGAACAATCTGGGTTTAGGGCCGTTCCAGGTTTAAGGTTATTCCTGCTGGGAATAGGGCGTATCCTGCTGCCTGAGTTCCCTTTGAGTTCTCGTGGAATTCAGAAAGTATTTGGGATTCAAAGCCTGGTGGAGTATGTGAATTTTGGGAGAAGAACGTGAATTTTCCCAGAACGTGTTTGTAGAGGGCCGGTGTGAGTTCGGGAATAAAGAGTTGCTGTTTGAATCTACAAGGTGTGTGGTGGCTCGTGATTCTGTGCCCAGCCAGACTGTGGCACTGACCCAGACAAGGACCTCGGTGAAAACACATCTGGGGTCCTGCAGGCTGGGTGGGATTGGGCTGCAGGAAGTGCCTGGCCTTCCCTGTGCTCTGCTCCTTGGGGATCGGGGGAGGCAGAGGAAGCAGCAGTAGACACTCGTCTCCCTCTTGTCCCTTGTGTTCATCGGGACAGTTGCATCAAAAGGCGACGACTGTTGGTGGCATTTGCCGTCCACCATCTGCCTGTGGAGCGAGGAGGGAGTGGTGGGTCTGTGCCTCTGGGCTGCTGGTGGTGATGACGGTGGAGATCTAGACAGCCCTCCTGCAGTTACAGTTTCCTGGTTGTCATTCATGCCCTGGTCCCAAGGGCCCAGGGGCTTGCAGGGGACGGGCCCTAACCTGACTTTTTCCTGTGTCTCTGCTGCTCAACGGGTGTGTTTTGCAGAACATGATTTTTGAGGGTGGGCTAGGGGATTGAACTTGGGCACTCGACTGCTGGGGCTAGGGGATTGAACTTGGGCACTCGACTGCTGAGCCGCATCCCCAGCCCTGTTTTGTATGTTGTTTAGAGACAGGGTCTCACTGAGTTGCTTCTTGCCTGGCTTTTTGTGGAGGCTGGCTTTGAACTCGCCATCCTCCTACCTCAGCCTCCTAAGCCGCTGGGATTCCAGGCGTGGGCCGCCGCCTCCGCTCCCAGCAGCACATGATGTTTTGAAGGCTGGCTCAGAAGAGTCACCAGGAAGCAGCTGGGGCCTGCAGCAGAAGCACAGGCGCTGCTCCTGCGGTGGCTGCCCTGGAGTGCAGTCCTGAGGCCAGGGGACAGGGGACAGACCCATGCAGTAGGTGGCCACCACTGTGACCTCTAGGTACAGGGCGCTTCTCCAACACTGAAGGCCTTGCTGCCTGTGGAGGTGCCCTGGGCACAGGACCATAGCTCGGGTGGTGGTGCTGGGGTGATGGACGTGAAGAACAAGTGGGGCTCCCCCAGAAGGTGGCATGAGAAAGTGAGGCCCGAGGAGCAGCGGCAGAGCACGCTTGGCACCAGGAGGCTGAGGTGCAAGGACGAAGAGGGCGTGGCCAGGAGTGCTGGGAGGAGCTGGGCGGGGCTGGGGGCGGGGCAGGGGCGGGGCAGGGGCCGGGCCAGGCCGCGGGGCGGGGCCCTAGCGCGCTTGCCCAACAGGTCCTGCTGCATTTTCTCCCTAGTGCTCAGACCCTGCCAAAGTTGAGCGCTGTCCTTTCCCGTGTCGCTTTATTCTGACCAGGGGAGTAAGAGCCCTCGATATTTGGGAGGCCTAGACTCTCTGTCTTCTGAGGAGACGACCTCCGCCTGCACTTTCAACCTCAGGACTCATAGCAGCCAGCACAATCGACTGACCTCGTGGAGTTTGCAATCTGGTGGGGTCCCCAGAAAGATAAAGAGATGACAGGTGTGGGTGCTAAGGTAGAAGAGGGTACACGGGGAACTATGAGAGTACCCAACCAGTCTTAGGAGCCAGGAAAAGCCTCCCAGAGGAAGTGACTAAGCTAGAAAGCAAGTAGGAGTAAGCCAGACATAGTGTCCATCACAACTGCTCATATTTATTCAATGATTACTGTGCAACCAGCTGACAAGTACTTTGCATTACGTCAGTTAATTTTTACAACCACGCTTTGCGTTAGGCACCACTATTATCCTGTATCTTCATTTTGCAGATGAGGACATTGACTAACCAATGGATTGAGTAACTTAACAGGGGCCCCACTGGCTGCTGAAGGGCAAAGCTAGGGTATGAATCCTCTCAATCTGACCCTAGTGTCTTGCTTGTGCACTCTGCTGCCCCCTAACACGAAAGGGGCCAGCTCCAGGCCAAAAGAAGGAGCATTTTCAAGATAGAAGGGAGGAAAGGGAAAGCATATTTTTAAAACTGTAAATATCACAACGAAATGGATAAATGGTAGAGATGCAGCTAAAAGGGATCTGAGGCCAGGTCATGATGAGCTCAGTTTGGAAATGATAAAGATATGGAGAACACTAGAACTTTTTGATATCCTCTTTCCAAAACAAGTACCAGTATGCCTAGTATAGCCCTGCATAGTCTTATTCAGATCCCTGGGTCCTCCAGTCCAAAGTCTTATATAGTCTTATTCAAAAGGCAAAACACTCTCAAAATCAAAGAAGACATGATATCTCCACCCATTCTTTAAAGCCCAGGTCAAACTCTGCCTCCCACCAAGCTCTCCAGGACCTCATGCCCTTGAACACTCACACTCCTGAACCCAGCAACTCTTTGGGATCATATTCTCTGTCATAGTCATCTATTTGTATGTTTCCCCCCATCCTTCTGAAGGAGGAGACAGGCTCAACCCTCTCTGAATGCCCAGTATGGCACCAACAGGGAAGATGCTCAAAGAATGTTACTGAACAGAATTTCACATGATCTTGCAAAATTCATTTATTTTGCAGATAAGGAAGCTGTGGCCAGTGTATTTAAGTGATTTTCCTGAAGCCACACAGCCTGCTCTTTATTATCCTCACCATAGATGTGCCTGTGTTCTAAGTGCTTTATACTTACTTACTTTCTCATCTAGTTCTCATAGTGACCCACGAGGTAGATATTGTTATCATTCCCATTTTTCAGATAAGGAAACTAAAGCCAGACACATTAGGTCACTTGGTGCATAGCTGAGACTAGATATCTACTCTTCTAACTCCAAATCTATTGCTTTTTGACTACACTCCTTCCTTCATCCTCCCATCTACCTACCTTTTCCAAGAAAGGTTCATGAGAAGTTTCTTTCCATCCTCATTCAACACAGCCCTCTACACTTGGTAGAGTTTTATAAGACTGAAAGCTGGGTCTGCCTTTCAATAAATAGTGGTCAACATATGGCTGTTGAAAACTACCAGGAGTAGAGACATCTGCATGGTCATTTCAGTGGAAAGTAACTAATGATTAGTGTTGCTTTGTTGTTTTGCCCTGGGATAAATGGAAATGGGCTATTTGTCGAATAAAGTCAAAATAACCTGCCATCAGCAATGTTTATTTATATTATGGTAGTCACCCAATGACTACCCAAGATGGAGTCAACCTTTGAGAGAAAGAGTAGTCCATGGATCCATTTTTCTTCCATCCACTGATGTCTTTCATATTGTTAATATAAATAATACTTTGCATTATAATCCATTGCAAAAGTAGCAGACTGCTTACCATCTTGGGAGCCACATAGGAACTTATTTACATCTCTGCCTGCTTGATACCTGCTTAATACCTGGAACATATTCATTGGCACATGGTAAGTGCTCACTAAGTGTTGAATGAGTGAAGAAATGATATTACAGAGCAAAACTGCAACTGGCCTATCACTGAGCGAAACAGAAACTAAGGTCCTTGCCAACCAAGCTCCTAGGGTGGACCAGGGTCTCCAAGAACTTTTCCAACTGAAGCAACCAAAGCCCTGGGATTGTCCCAGTGAGGGCAGTTTCCCAACAATGGCTGCCACCAAGGATTGTGGGCAAAAGCCAAGCTCTGGCTTATGCCTCAGCCCCTTCCTACCAGGCCAACACTAGGTCTGGTAGACTCAATGGTAGCAAAGTTCACAAGGAATTGCAGGAAAGAAGAGAGTAAGGAGCCCCAGGAAGTGGGAAAGGAGAGGAAAGAAACTGGTAAGAAAAGTAGGGAAAATAAATCAATGGAAAGTAGCTCT